AGGAATCCCAAGCAGGAAGAATGTGGCACTGGGCTGCAGGCAGCATGCTGGCTGCTGGGTGGGGGCTTGTGTTTCTCAGGCATGCTGAGTATGTCCTAGGGGCTGAGCACACTGACAGACCAACAAACTGAGTTGTGGGGATTGGCAGAGGAACTGGCTCATGGTGTAGCTGGGTCCCATCCCCTCAGCTCCAGGTTCATGTCCGGCGGGACATTGCTATTCATTGCAACAGCCTTCTGATGCTGCTTTGGGTGAATTGGTGGCTGGGTGTGTTCTGTGGCCAAAAGGAGGTTGCTATGCTTTGCTCTCTGGGATGTGTTGGGAGGAGCAGTGGCCCCTCCCCAAGTCTCTGCATCCCCCTGGGACAACTGGCTCCTTGGTGTGGAGGTCAGCAGGAGCTCCTTGCCAGGGATGGGGAGCACGCACAGTGGCTTCATACTGATGGGGATAAATAGTGCTTTTTGGAAGCATTTCAGACCTGCAGTTGACTTCCCATCTTCCTGCCCAATCCTGGTACTCTTTGGCATGGGTTTGCCAAACTTTTGCCCAGGTACTTGTTGTCACTAATTATCTGTGAGGGGAAAAGAACATTCTGACTCAACTCAGCGCCTGTGCTGAAATTTCAGCGCATGGGCTGGGGTTGGCTCAGCACGTCCGGGTGGTGGCTCTCCGTGATCTCCTAAAGCCTCTGCAAAAGCCCATTGAGTCACTTGGGAGCATTGCAATGGAAAGCTGATAACGGCAGCGGTATGGAAATAGAGATGAAGGGATTGGGGTTTTTAAACTGATGGCTAACTTGGACAAGGCTTAGCTGTGCTTAAACTGGTTATGTCCATCAGATTCGGTTATAGATGATTCAGCTCCAGCACAGAGGAAGCCTTTAAATTGTAGTCCTTTACCTCAGCACATAGCCTGCTCACAGTGGGGAGGAGCCTGTCTTCTGAAATGAAGGCTCCAAACTTCATGAGGCTGCCCCCTGAGCAAACAGCTTACCAGGAGCTGGAGGCTGGACGGCTGCTGTGTGTTCAGCAGCCCCCCACCCCCATCACCTCTGCACTGGGTTAGTGACAGTTAGTGGTGTCACTGCTGTGGACTCATTTGTGGACTTTTATCCAAAAAGTTGACTGTCCTTCCTCTCAAAAATCAGGGCAGATACCAAAAAGGCATATACTTAGTGGGGTGTGGGGATTGGGTCACCACATGTCCTGAAGCCACAGCACTTCTGTGCTGTCAAGGGCTCGACTGAAGTAGTGATTGCCACAAAATGCAGGTGATGTTGGAGTTGAATATGTACTCACAACAGCTCAGGGGGAGCCACATTTGTTTCAGACCCAGCCAGTGGGGTTAACCATACCTGCCAGGGTATGGTGTGGGGCAGGCAGCAGGCACGGGGCAGTGGGCCCTTCTGTTCCAGCCCACCCCTGCCAGCTATTTTCCCAGGGAGTGGGGAGGGATAGGTTGGTGCCCTCTCACCCGCCCCGGCTAACCCTGCACTGGGCAAGTGCTCCTCCTGGGAGAGGTGGTCACCCTTGCTCCCAGCCTTGCTCTGGCGGCTGCTTCTTCCCGACAGTCCTTGCCTGACTCAGGGGGGATTTAGTACCGGGCTGGGGGGAGGGAAAGACGTTAAACAGGCTTTTCCCTAATGAGGTGTGACGCCAGCTGGAGAGGGGGAGAATCCTGCTTTTCTCCTGTCTGTTGCTCTCTCCAGCTAGAGGAGGAGGAGATATGTGTCCCCCCCTTCCTCTGCTGATTTGCTGCCTCTTCTGTTTCCTTTCTGTGCTGTCCCCAAAGCGTTTTGGCAAGGTTCAGATTTCTGTGCTCACAGCTCAGTGCTCAAAGAGAAAGGGGGAAAAACAAAAGGATTGGAGGCGTGGGGAGGATGGTGGTGGGGAGGAAGCCCAGCCGCTCGCCCTGGCCAGGCTGGAGGAGTGTGGGGATGGGTGACTGGGGCAGGGTTTACCCTCAGGACCAGGGGTGGGGGTTTGGTGGCTGCTTTCTTCTGAGGGTACCTGGCATCACTTTAGCCTGCTCAGATGTGCCACTTCAGGACCGTGCTGTTTTGCTGGCTGTCCCTTGTTGGAGGGGAGGACTGGAAAAACAAAGTTTATTCCTCCCCTTACAAAACGTGGGCCAAAGTGTTAGGTGAAAACCTGAGAGGATGCTAACTCTTTGTTTGCGGTCCTGAGATTTTAAAATTTGCATCACATCTTCCTGGTGTCCCTGTCATTCCCACAGCACCCTGAGTGTGTGGAGGAAGTCCAGGATTAGGTATCTGGGGACAGGAAGCTGGAGAATCCACTGGGATAGAAAATCATGGCATTCAGTTAAACAGGACCAGTGGACCCAGCCTTGAGAAATTAAAGTTCCTCTCGCTGCTTTTATCCTATCTCAAGCAGTGATAGAAAAAATGTAGGCAGAAACAGTACAGGACAACGTCAGTATCTTTTTTCCAAGACCACTAATCATGGTTATACTTGGATTGTGCCTGTACCATAAGCTGCTGGCAGTGGGTGTTCCTGTTGGTAGGGACCAGAGGACCAGGATGGGCTCCAGGCAGCACCCATGGCATTGGCGAGCGCAGTGGGGAGGCTTTCCACAGAGGTGCTGACCAGCCTCATGCCTGCTAAGGATGGACCCTCATTACCCCCATGCTATGTGTGTGCTGATTAATCCTGGCTTGTGCCAGAGCCCTGTAACCCCGTGTGGCACCAGGACTGCACCCAGGCCCATGTTGGTCTGTGTGCCCAGTGCCCCTGTCAGCCAGCAGCTGTGAGATCTCTCAGCAGCTGTATCAAGTCCCCAAATTGGTGCTGCACCCGCTGTGAAGACAAGGACAAAGAGCACCCATCTGGGAGAAAGGAGCCAGCAAGAGAGGGGGAAACTACCCAGCCAGGTGTTTTAGTCCCTGCCCAGGAGAGTGCACCTTGCCCAGTGCCCCAGGAATGTCCCCTGGCTCCTGGGATGACCCGCCAACTCAAAAAATGTAAAGGTCACTCCCGGGCCTGGAAAACAATGGCTGCAGATAGGGGCTATCTGAGCCAGTTGTGGCCACTGCTTAAGGAGTGTTAGTCAAACAGCAGGCTGAAAAGGCTCACGGGAAGCAGTTTAAATATTCCTTCATACAAAAGGCTGTCACATCCTAGCAGAGGCAGACTGCTGACTGACAGCTTTAATGCACAAGTGTAATGTGGATGAGGGAGAGGCTGAACCGAGCAGGGAGAACATCCTGGAGACTTACTTTCCCCTGCCCTTTATTCTGGGTTCTAATATGTCATTTTCCACAAGTTGCAAGTTTATTGTGGTACTGTGGTAACACACCTGGGATATTTTAGCATATCACATACTTTAGGTCCTCCATTCTCCCCCCTCTGCCCCCAGTATATTTATAGAAGGCAGATGTCCACTAAAGTATTTTACAAGTAAAGTAAGTCAACACCTCTAAAATACTAACCACTTACCAAGTGGTAAGTAGAGCCAGGGCCAGGAGCTGGACTCAATCCTTGCGTGTCCCTTCCAGCTCGGGCTATTCTATGATTCTAAGTGAATTTGCTCTGTAATTACTATTTATATAGTGTGATTACTATTTATGCAACAGTAATATCACTCTCTCCAAGGGATGGCAAGCAGCAACTGCAGTTTTTGTATTAACTTGTCATTAAGCATGTAGAGGCCAGAAGAGACATTCCTGGGACTTTCCCTGGCCCTGTGGCAGGGATGCTGTGTCAGGCTTTGCCTGCCCACTGCCCTTTCCTTGCCTCGAGTTTCCACACATAATAGCTGTGTTTAGTACATTCTTCACGGGGCAGGTGTCAGGCTTCCGCTCGTGAAGCACTTCAGGTCTTGCACAAGAGGTAAATAAGGGCAGTGTTGATAATGAAAATATGCCATTAATACATTTCCAATAAAAAACTACAAGCGGCGTTTAATCTGCAATCTGTTATCAATAATTTTATTACTGCAGTTACTGCGGTCTAATAAAAAAGCACTTTCTCTTCTTTATTGGGTAAGTGCCAAAACGTTTATCCTTTATTCTCTGGCCATTAACCTTTATTCCATAGCCATTAGCTTAGCCATTTGTGTAACAGTCTGTTGAGTAACATTCAAGTAGAAATTTGTATTCAATCCATTATTTACTCTGAAACCCAAAAAGAATGGCTTCTTATGCCTATGTTGTTTATCCATATTAAATCTTGTTAAGTGCTGTATGCTACTGATGATAAGTCTTATAGAAAGTGGATTTTACTTACTGTGAATGACTTTCTGGCATACAAATAAAACTGTAATTAATCAGTTTCTGCATTGCATCTTGATTTGAACTCCATTGTTCTGAAATAAGCCATGATACTCTTCATCAAGAGTTGAGGCTTTGGGTCATGAGGTCTGACATCCCTCCATCCTTTCTTTCTCTCTTACTATGAAAAAAAGTAACCCAAAGAGAATTAAGTTAAAGAATCAAAATGCTTGCTTTTCTTTGAGCCATTTGCTTGCTAGCTTTCAGCCATTTCTGGCAATCCATCTGTAACTGCTGCTTCTCTGTGTAAGTGGCTTTTAGGGCCACGCTTTCTGAGTGCACTTTTTAAGTGAACTCACCAGTGTCAGTGAGTGGAAGCAAACCAGGAGAATGAAACTGTTGATTCCTGCCCATCAGCTGAACATGGGAGAAATCACGGCTTCCTTATTAGGCTGTAGTATCTCAACCTCACTGAACCCTATTTTTCTGCATCCAGACAAAAGCATTAGTCTTCTGGCTGGAGACTGACATTCAGTAAAAGCCTTTCAAGGTCTTCCTATAAACTCTTGCAATGAAGAGAGGTAGTAGAAGCAGTATTTTTAATGATGGGGAAGGTCGGCTTCCTTAGCGTGTACACTGCTGCTGTACACGTATGTGAGGCTGCTCGGGTCTTTCTGGTCCTGATGAGCTCGCAGTAAATTTTAAGGAATTAGTTTGATGATTGGTTGTTTGTTTTTTTTTTTCTCTCTTCTTTCTGCTCAATAGGAACTGGAAGCTGCTCTTCACAGGGATGATGTGGAGTTTATCAGTGACCTGATCGCCTGCCTTCTTCAAGGTTGTTACCAGCGCAGAGACATCACGTGAGTAACCCACTCTATGGCTTAAGCACTTTGCAAGGGGAGCTAATTAACACGGTCTCAGGGATGTTTCACGGCTTTAGAGTGATGACATGGCAGTGATCAGCAGCCACAGCAATCAGGCCAGATGCTTCACCGAGTGGAAGGGAATTCCAGCTCTCTTGGGTTGAGTTGTAGGCTTTTAATTGTGCAGACCCGTTAAGCAAACTTCTTTGTTCAGGTGCCATGCAACTGTGTTTGATGCTCTGCGGCAGCATCAGTGCCTACAGTGAACACCCACAACTGCTGTTATACTCTGCACTGTGCTTGGTCAAATTAGTGATATCACACTAAGTGTTTAAATCATCACAAATATTTTTGGCATTTATATGTATTGCGTAGCACAAAACTCCTGCTCTGCAGCCACCTCACTTGCATGGAAGATCCCATTGCTTTACATAGGGGCAATTATGATTATTTTCTTAGAAATAAGAGGAGTAGTGGAATGACTTCAGTTGCGGGGTGTTGGAAAATGAATTGGCATATTCTTTTGGAGTTTTGACATCCAGAGACACTTAGTTAGTGTCCACTAAAGTAGCCTCCCAAACTGAGGCATCTGTAGGACATCATTCTTGAGGGAATCGCCACTCACACAGCAAAACGTGCTCCCAGTGATAGCGAAGGTTTGTTGCAGTGTGTTTTATTTGTTCTTCTGTGAATCATGTAATAGGAAGGCATAATTGTGGAGATGAAGACAGTTTGGCAGTTGCTTTGAAGCAATCCTGCTCCCCAAGATCCCACTGTTGTGGAGAGGCTTAGGGTGGTGCATAGGCACAACCATAGATGCTTGCATTGAAAGCTCTATTTCTAATTAACTGATAACGTTCAACAAAGATTATATAGTTAGGTAAGTGGCAAGTGTATATATACAAAACCAAAATTCTCTTGCATTTCCATGTTGGCATTCAGCATCAGTGAATACCAGGACCTGAACCAGGCATCCGTACTGCATTTATTGTCTCTGAATTAAACTGATGTGATGAGAAGATTGATTGTAAAGGTACTGCAGTATATGCAGAAGATACACATATGCATGTATATCTTCTTCATCAAAATAGCCAAAGAGCAAAATAATCTGGCCTAGAAACATTCAACAAGTTTATTTCTTTTTACCATAGCTGTCAGAAAGTAGGGGCTTAAGTGTTTTTCCCCATCGTAACCAGCTCACCCTTGTGAGCAGTGGAAGATTTGTCCTTTATGAAATTCATAAATTCCACATTGTCAGATTCTCTAAAACTCTCCAGATCTAAGACTGTCCACGTAGCAATTGCACTGTGTAATTGCCTCTCCTTTCACAAGTGTTTTAACTCAGAGGATTCAGGGATGAGTCATGGGTGAGTCGCTGGGCATTGGCGAGTTGTCTGTCTGTCTGGAGAAGGTTACACATGTACATGAAGGCTCAACAATGTTTACTCAGCATTTTGTGTAGGTCCCAGATTGTGCCCATTTAGGTCTAGCTTTGATTTACTCTGAGATGCAAAATCTGCAAGGAGGCAATGCCGTCTCAGAAGGAAGAGCTGTGCCTTTGTGCAGCCTGGTCAGGGTGCACAAGCAGCATGGGCAGGTACCTGTGTGGGTGTTATTGTGTGTCTATCCGTGTACCAGAGGTGCCCAAGGAAACCGAGGAGTGTGAAGCCACATAGTGAAGTTGTGAGAACTTACACCTCCCCCAAACAGCTGTGCTAAGGAAAGCGTGAGGTGCCTGGAGGAGAAACCAGCTGCACCCTTTCTGCAGCACCTCCTGTAGAAGGGAGCTACCTCATGGGCAGGGGTATAACGAGAAAAGAGCACGACAGGAGTAGTGTGGTGGAAATGGCTGAAGGAGTAGATCAGGAAAACTGCCTAGAGCCACTGGGATGTTAGAGAGGTGAGCTCTGAAGCACTGCAGAGGAAGCAATGGGGGAGGCTATCTGGAAACAGAGGGAAAGGTGCTGTATGCAGAGGCAAGTCATGAAGGAAGAGGCATTAAGATATAGACTAAACATTAAATCGGTAGATGAATTAGAATAAAAATGATGGCTTGGATACACTTCTCAGAAACAAACTTGACACACTGTTTCACACCTACAAACCAACTGCAGGATATTTATCCAAAAGCCTGAAATTCTCCTTCTTCTTTTTCACATGTATTTCCAACATCTTTAACCCCAGTTCAAGAGGCACTGGCCTTGTCTGATGCACAGCTTCCCTACTGTACCCTGTCTGTCCCCAGTTAGTGGTAAGGAGTTTAGCCTCTAATTGATTTTTGAGTACTCAGTGGGCAATGCTGAGTACTGACAATACTCAGCAGAATTTGTGTGGGGTTTAGAGTTGGCTCTTCACGGTAGGCCAGGACTCTATACTTTTCTGTTGCAGGCAGGAGGTATCTGTGTTGTGTGGGAAAAATCAGCAGTTTCACAGATCATCACGGTGGCGTTATTGCAGCATCTCTCCAGTCATTTGTGCTCTGCATCCTCCTGCTGAGGCTGTGAGCTGTTAATATCGAGGCTGTAAAATTCACTCCCTGTTGCACCTCAGAGAGAAAGGCAGGAGCTTGTTCTCATCCTTGTTCTTGGGCTGGAGCATTGGGGCTCAAGCAGAGGATGCTTCATGTAACCTCATATAAAACATGGTTTGCCTACCTCTCCGAGGGGTTTTGAGGTTTAATTAGTTTTGTATTGTGTCTTACATCTTTGATGGCCAAAATGTTATCTGCCTATGCTTTCTCACAGTCTGTCTGGGAGCAGCTTGTAGTTCTTGTCACATCTGTTTTGATGGTGTGCAGAACTTGTGGCAGAGCTGGGCTGCCTGGCTTTAATCATGCATCATAGAGGGGTATAAAACTGTCACATACCTTTGCTAATTATAATGTGTTCTCAAGTAATTTTGGAAGTGACTGAGAGCCCTTCTAATGCACAGTTTAACATGCTCTAGTTTGATTTGCTTTTCATTCTTTGAAAAAAAAGAGATTAATACTTTTGTAGGGTTCTATGTTCCTTGGTTTTGAAGTAGAGCAGCTTTGCCTTGGTTTTGATATTCTTTATGACAGCCTTTTTAAAAGAAAAAAAGAAGAATCACGTACGAGAGAGAGACTGTTTTTTACCTTGCTTGATGGCTAAGGAGTGTTGAATGTCTGGTAACGTAAGACTTTCTTTGAGTTATGGATATCTGTGTTTAACTACAGAGACTACTTAATGGGATGCTATGTGATCTTCTCCAAACTCTTATTTATCATAACCTATCATAGCTGTTAGGAACACTCCGTTGACCTGGTTCTTGCCATGTTAAGTCCTGTAGAAATACAGAACAAAAAAACCCAGTTACTTGTATTTCTGACTTCTGGAATCTTTAGCAGTGACTCTGTAGCTGTCCTTGCCTGGCACTGGGTGCTTGGAGCACTTGGCCATGACAGTTTCCCCATTGCTCTCCTCTTTTCACTCTGAGCCAAAATACTTCTGCAGCTTTTGTTGCTTTATAAATGCCCTTCATAGTTTCCACATACCATCTGTACCATCTAACTACTAGCAACGCGATAGGCATCGTTCTCTGCTATAGGCATGGTTTGGTTTGATGCCTCTGAGATTGCCCTTACCTTTTTCCTGCTTCTAGCTTTTTTGCACAGGTCTTAAAATCTCCGTGTTTTCTTTTAATTGTTTCAAAATGCAAATACCTGGAAAGAAGAGAGGGAGAAAACTCTTATCAGATTTTGGGGGGTTATAAAAAAATAAATAAAAATTAAGCAGTTTGAAAAAGTCCTGGTGCTTGCTTCAGATTCTCTCTGATATAAATTGGGTAGCTGCATACTCCCCAGGGGCTGCTACTTTAATTCCAGCAGGAAATGCGATTTGATGACTTGTATGAAGACAGGAAGATCAGAGCTTCAGCTAACGGCAGCAGCCGCAGCAGGAGCCTTCTGCAGCTGTTTTTAAGTAAGAAGTGATGGTGTGACATGGATGTGTACACTCAACTAAAATATTCTAGAAAAGCTCCCGCTGTTCAGCATTTCTTTGGGTGAAGCTCATTCTTCACTGCTCTGTTATTGCACTTTTGCCATTTTTCTAATGTGATGGCATAAGAAGTTTCAACGACTTTATTGTATTTCTCATTGGGATGCATTTTGTATGTTGATATTGTACCTCAAAAAACATCTTAGTTGTTGTTTTTACTTATAACATTTTTGTATTTTTTCAACATAGACAAAGGCCAGAAAATGAGGAGGAAGAAAAATAATATCTCTGGATTTTTTTTTTCTATGCCCCTTGAGATTCTTTTCTTTTTTTTACACCTCAGGAGGTTGGTCCATCACTGTAGCTGAAAACTCTGTAACTGACTTCTGTGGTAGAACAGACAGCATTTGCTTCCTTAGGAACCTCAATTATTGCTTTTCTTGTTATTTCTTTCCTAATGCATTGGAATTTTTTTTTTCCCAAGTGGATCATCAGTTTTACACCCCACCTTAAGCTCTTTCGGGATCTGTAAACTAGCCCTGGAGTCTTTGGCTTGTAGTTTGCACCTGGTTTATTCTAATATGGATAATAAGATTCCTAAACTCCTCTTCCCTTCCCTACAATTGTCTTAATTATTTCTTTCATATCCTTAGTGGTGGCATTGAGAAATACTCCCAGTATAGCATCTAAAGAGCTATATTTCCTACTTGTTGAATTGCCAATCAAGAGTACTGCCACTGTTCTGCATATTTTCCAATGCTTGTTCTGTAATCACTTATTTGAGCTTTCATCAGAAAGAAATAGAAATGATCTGAAATCATCTAACCCATTGAGGCACAATGCCCTTTTCTGAGGACAGTGTTTAATAGCTCTGGGTATTTTGCTTCTTCCTTCTGCTTTGTCACTTTTTCCCTTCCTTGTCCTTTATTCTGAGTGGATTCTGCCTTTACAGGGTACTTTGGAGGTTACCCCAGCTCTCATGTTTTGGTAAAAGGGACCTCAATAAAACACTTAACATGTTGAAATCACCCTCTGCAT